AATTTTTCTCATAACGAATAACAGTTCTAATGTAAAGTTCACGTACCTGTCTTCTGTCTTGGCTCTCCTCTTCCTCCTCACTTTCAGATGAGCTCTCACTGAAGTCCTCCTCCATATCAGCTTTCATTTGTGAACGCATCGATACTCGCGTGTTCTTGCCCGCATCTCTATGGAACAGAAGAATTTTGTTGGGTTAATAAATTTTATATTCAGAGATATTAGAAGAATGCGGCTGATATTGATGACAAAGGTCGACGATGATCATGTTGATAATAACAATGATAGTGAATATGGCGATGATGGTTATGGTGATAACAATAAGTAATGATAAGAGGGTTGAGTGGAGTCCGATTCGGTCTGTGATCATAGGAGTGTTTGTTAATTACGAGTACGATTACAGACAGAATTGGACGACACGAAGTCCTGTTACTAATTAATCAAAGCCATGACATAACTTGAGGAACACACTACCCATCGGTCATACGTTGTCATACCAAAGAAAAAGATGGTAATTCGGCAAAATACGCGACAATAGCGCGTTCACATGACGCTCACATGAAGCAAACACTGTCCTATGAATGCTAAAATAGGCCTGGTGATAACCAATCACGTTCGAGAAGTAGTTTTTGATTAATAGGAAAATAATCCAACCTGCTCTTAGTGTGTCTGGACGACGGCTTCTTCTCTGGAGTGCTTCTCCCCTTTTGTTGATCCTTTTTGCTATAATTATAAAAACATCCAGAGTAGGTTATTCGTGATTGAACCGATAAAAATCTTTCAAATACGTATTAATATGTCACGGTAAACTCAACACATTAATTGGCAGTTAACCAAAACTTCAAATTCTACCAAGACGTACAATGAAACCTAAAAGCACTCTACACTACACTTACGGATCATCTCCGACAAGATCAGCTCCAAATTCAATGTTAATGTTTTTCCAGCGCGGAGAAGACTCGTATGTTTTGGCTCCTTTGTTGCCTTTCTTTTTCTGAGATGTTTTAGTGGTTTTCGTCTTTGTTGAAGCACTAAAATCAGAGCAAAATTAACACACTGTTCAATTTGTTACCTACATGCTTTATTCCTTCTGGTTTCAGTTCGTCACTCTCTTATTGTACCACTATAGCTTATGAGCAGGCCCTCGTTTAAAGTGCTTCTGCGCGATTGTTTCTCTGCCCGCGGGAAAGTACGAGGCCCGGCGAAAAGTCTTCAAGGGGTCTAGCACTGTTGTTAGTGCCAGACCCCCACCAAACATCTGCCCGTCTCGTCTCAAATCTTTTCGTGTGCGGAGAAACGTGCGCACTGCAGCGCTAATGAGGGCCACTGATAAAGATGTCTTAAGACTCAATAACCAATTACCTACTGAACCTATCCTGATCCTTATAAGAAAACTCTAGGTAACTCTTTAGAGAAAAATGCTACCAGGCTTGAGCTATAAAAAGAAATTTAAGAACTCGAAACCAAAATAAAATTTACGTTAAACGAGACTACACGACTCCGCGCAAAGGCTGAAGAAATTTAGCGAACCATCGTTTTTCTAGTTACCATTTGCTACCTCTATAGTAGATTAGCGACCCAAGGTGGGTCTGTTTGAGTAAAGGCTGACAGAACAGCACTTGATCTTTGTGGACTGTAAGTTTTTATAACTTACTTTATTTGATTTTTAGCCTCTACATCAACAGCTTCTTCACCAGCTGATCCATTTGTTTCTTCGTCCTTCGCAGGTTCATCAATGCGCTCAGGTTTGTCCTGTTTTTCTTCAGAAGAACCATAATACGCAAACTCCTACAAAGTTAAACAATTTTCCTGCTCAAGAGAGAGATAAATATACTATTGATCCTTGATTTTCCCGTTCTTTTCGCTCAAACTGGAGAAAAAGCCCTTCCAACTTGAAAAAACTGCACCCTCCCCTCCCCTACGTTAAGCATCGTTTGCATTATTAATTCAGCTCCCACCTTAAATAAGTGCCCCTGACATTGAGCAATTTTCAATCGAGTGTCAAATGTAATCCGGGTAGCTTTGTTTTTGCTTTACTTCGTCATGCGACTGGTCCAGAAAACTCACGCCACCTTTTCAACCAATCAGATTCAAAACTAAAATAAATCGTGAGTCGGTAGCCCGCGTTTTCCCACGCTTCAGGCACTTTGCTTGTTTTCACTTCAAGTTCTCATTGGCTCCTTGTAATATTTTCTTTCTGATGAACTGTACTGTTGTGATTGATTTGGTTTTGGTTGCACAACACTCAATCGAAAAGGCAGTCTAAGGACCCAGGCGATCATTAGAAGATTTATGGTACTTGCATCAATTTGAAAAATACCTTCTTCTCAATAGCGGATGAAAACTGGGGACTCTTTGCCTTCAGGAGTGCCACAAGTGTGGGATACACATCTCCTACTCTTTCAAAGTTCACCTGCCCCTCTTGGGTCAGGCCTTTGTTTACAAAGTAACCAGCTGTGTTAGCAGTGACAGTCAATTTGTCAGAGTCAAACGGCTTGATGTCAAGGTAGCTGATATCACCATGAACTTGCTGCCAGGGTGGGGCATGGCATCCATTACTGAACTGGTGATCTAGTGAGAGATGGTATTATCATGTTCACTTTCTGTCTCTGTGTTTTAAAAGTCAAGTCTTTTCAATGACATTGTCTTTAAATAACATTGCACGAGTTTGGTACCAATACGGCTGAAGCAGTTTTCCATTTCTCATTTGACATAATTTTAGTATCAGTAATTAAGGATCTTACCAAGAGTCCATTCAATATACTCCAGGCACTGTCCTTTCTCTCCAGCAAAGGATTTTAGTAGCTCATATTCAGCCTGTTGAAATCAGATACAAAATCAAGAATTGAATTTTTAATAAAAAAAAAAAGAACTTCTCTGAGATTACTTGATAAATGAATCACTAACGAAAAAAACTTGGGAAAATTGTTGTTGCTACAGTATATGCAAATATTAAAAATTACCTGCACAGCACTTGGGTTTAGTCTCACTTCTCTGCAAGAAAAATTCAGGGTGATGAGAAATACAATAAAGAATACCTCACTGAAAAACAAAAATGTAGGTAAGGATGCAATAGCTTATTGACAGAAACTCTACATACAGTGTATAATTGCCAGGAAATAAGTCAGGGCAAAGTCTGTACCCAAACCCAGGGGAAAATAAAGTGTTTGCCCAAGAAAACATCAAATCGACTCAGTCAGGTCTAAAACTCAAATCTTTTGACCCACAGTCCAGCTCACCAACAATTAGGTAACGTAGTCTCCCAAAGGAAGTACATGTTAATAGACATATTCATCACTTCATTATTAATGCACTGTGCGCACAGGAAACTTACTTGGCGATGGTTTTGTGAGATGCTTCCAGAAGCTGTTTATCCATTTCACTGATGAGAAGTGATAAAGTGAACCTTGCCTCCTGCTCTTCCACATTTTCTGAAGATTGCTCTCGTGCTTTGCTAAGATCAGCAAGGGCCTTCAGTAAGGGTCTGTCACTGCTGCTGACAGCTGCATAGGCAGCACCCATCACATTTACCATGGGATCTTGGTTTTCTAAAGAAAAATAGGCCGCATAGCATAAGTAAAAAAAAATTTAGAAAGGAAGAAAGTCTTATTGTACACTTAAATTTAGCAATGGAACTGATCACAGTGAAAAATGTGGACTGTCCAGCCAGACCTTGTCGGGATTTCCATGGTAGGAATTTACTAAGCAATGAAACTGATCATGGTGAAAGATGTAGACTATTCAGCCATAGATTATTGTGGTTTCCAGAGTAGGAATTGACTAAGAGTGTGGCTACTTATTCTTGACAGGTTGCCTGTCCATCCCCTCCCACCCCCCTCTCCTGCCCCCTTCCAGCCTCTTGTTCAGTTTCCCTGACTGTTCCCTGAGATTTGCAATGCAAAGTTAAGAAAAATATAAAATTTAAAAAAAAACATATGTGCAAGTGGTACCTTCAAGGCAAGCCTGAGCCTCTTGGCATTTCTTGTCTCCTGCAACTTTAAGGACACTGCCAATCTGCTCGAATGTCCACACTTTCAGGATAAATTTTTCACCCTCCTAGATAAAAATTGGTTGTTGTTTATTGTCAAGTATGTATATGTTACATGGTGGTATTACATAGGAAAATCTTGTCCAAGTCACTCTTGTGAAGGGAAATCATGGAACAAGACATACACAGAAAACTTGAATGGTGGTTTAGGTCTCTGTTGAGGAGAAGTTATTGTCAAAAGTAGAGTACAGCCATAAAAATGAGTCAAAAATGTTTTAAGGTGGTAATTCCCAAAAAGTGTCTCCATAAAGAGTGTATTCATCTTTTACAAGTGCCTTTGAACACAAAGTTGACTCTTTCAGACTTAACGATTCAAGTAAGCTTCAACACAATGCAAACCCTGCAATTTTGACATAAAATTATCTATCAATGTAAATATAAATCATTTAAATACCTTGTCCATAGACAGCAAATGCTCTCCACTTGGAGTTTTAGCTTCAGATTTCACATCACTACCACTGTAATGAGAAAAATATTGACAAATTGCAATTAATTGACCTTTTCCTGCAAACATACTTTCATCAAAACTTGACACCAAATTGCGAGAGAAAACTTGTTATTACTTGTTAACAATGTACATGAAAAACATTGCAGAAGTTCAAGAAGAATTTAAGAAAGCACTTGTTTTCAGCTAATCAGAGTCATGTAATTATTGTTTATGTATATTATTAACACTGTAATCACCTGTCAGACAATTTAGGAAATTACTCGTTTAATGTTCATTTTCTTACAGTTGGTCACTACATATCCCAAATTTGACACCAAATGAGATTAACATACGTTATCTGAAATCCCATTGATCCAAAATTCAACTCTCCAAAGTTGTCAGGTTTTAGGGTGCTGTGCCATTTAAAAGGCTCTTTTAGAATCGTCTCTGCCTCTCGAGGATACGAACTCACAAGACTCTCCACCTGCCTCACAATGTCATTCAACAAAGCTTCATTCTGAGGCGTGAATTCCAACTTTCCTTTGCCGTATTCACTGACTGAAGTGCCATCAACGCGGCTGGAGATCGTGGCACCCATAACTGTAACATGAACACAAATCTGAATGAGACGAACGCAGGAATTTACCTCGGCAATGGTTTATGCACACGTTATTTTTTTGTCCTTTCAAACGTCAAATGTCGGGTAAAAAAACTAAATAGCTTTATTATCAACAAAGACGACAATGTTTTGAAATGGAAATGTTAAACGCATTGCCGATTTTTTAGATGTTGACTGTTCGCATACATCACAAGAGTATCAGGCTTGGACCTTGGAAGATGCTAAGCTCGCACAAGATCAGAGGCCACGGAAGGAAAATTTCACCAAAGCGACACATGTTTAAGTCTAGTTTGGGCGGACATTTTCTTTCCTTGATACCGTTCACCAGATGAAACAGGTAGTCGGCTGCCCATTTTAAATTCTTCTACCACAGACATTAAAGTGACAGGAGAAATCTAAAACTTTTCAATACAAATATTATGGGATCATAATATAATAAAAACGATCATTCGACAATATAGGACCCCCAAGTTGAGTGATCTTTTTTCCTCCGAAAACATCGAGCAAAAACACAATTCAAGGGAAGAAAACAAACCAAATACTATTACCTTCCACCTTATGAAATCATTCATACCTACCTTGCGCCTTGTATCATAAAATATTAAATGTTTTTTATGCGATGTTCCCTTGTTTTGCCTTCTGGACTCCACTTTCCCGCACTAGTTTCATTTCCATAGTAACCAAACAGATTGCACAAACTCTAATGGTAATAACCGCTGGTTATCAGGTTTGCTTGAGTTGAAGTTCGAAGCGTTGCGTTACGGTCGCGTGACTTTCTTTCCTTTATTCCGCTAGTACCATGCCCCGTAATGGAATAGGAATTATTTTAAATAAATCAGTGGTTTCACTAGCAACCTATGAGGCTGTTTTGGTGTTGATAAAAGAAATCCAAGATGAATGGGTTTCCTTTCCTCCGATGGAAGATCAGTGGGTGAACTGGGGAAGTAAGCTGTGTGTGATTGGAGAGGTGTAAGTTAAATTGAATGGTTATATTAAGGGAGCGACTTCTGTAACACAGTACTCTCTAGCTAAATAAAAACACTAGCGTTAAGGGAACAACAAAGTCCTTTTCCCCTGTCCCGCTAGTACCATGCTCAACCCTAACACAAGCAAAAGAAATAAATTCACAAAGAGCGAAAAGTGTTCATGTTTCCTCGTGATAACCACTTTAGAGAACAAGAAAGACGGAGAGAAAGCACCAAAACACTATCGCAAACCAACTGACTAGTAAGGAGAAAAGCAGAGGTAAATCAAGGTTAAAAAAGAGAAAGTCACTCGAAGCAGGAGCAAGAAAAGTTTATCAGGAATTATACTTCGTTTTGAAAGACAATTAATTAGCGTACGCAAGCCCGCAAGGGGAACCAGGAGATGAAGAAAGACCAGTCATGCTCGAGACAAGCACCTGGATGTACACAGAAAACCGACGCCTGTTCTGGGAGCTAATTTCTGTGATTGATCGTGAGAAGTCTGAGTAATGGGACTTAAACCACTGACCCCTCCATTAGTCTTTCATGTCACCAAATTTCCTCCCTGTATGCGTTTCGAAATTAGGGTCGGCAACAATCCCATTTCTCGGGCTTTTTCGTCAAGAATTGAGGAAAGCCTTGGAAACGGAGATGGGGTGGTGAATGGTAAACTTCGAGACTTGCAGGAGTGCGAGACGATTGATTGAGAATTCTACATTGAGAGTTAACCATTGAGTTGAGCCACACAAATCTATATTTTTATTGATTACAAAGAAATACAGAAAATGTGTTGTATTCGAGTTGCGATACTCTCCCTCCTGCGTTTGATTACATTTGTTAGCCTCTTCATCGAAGTATTTTCAAACGGGAGCAATCATAAATATGACCTGCGGAGATTGTCATCAGGCAACGCGCATACGTAGCCCACAATGGTATCGCACCCGTTGGACTCCTGCGTCACTTCCGATGCACCAGTCATGGTTTAATCCAAGCGTACTTTCCATCGTACCTCCTCGCCGTTTGCTTGGTTTGGTTCACTAACTGCTTTCTTTCCTCTCTGTGTTTGATCGATAATCGTCTGAAAATTTCCCTTGCATTGTTGTAGAATTCAGTTACTGTAGTTTCTAATTCTAATCGCTGTTTCTTGCGTGAGCCAATCATCTCATCGTTTTGATGATGGACTGTAATTTAATTGAAAAGAGGCTTGTATCAGTAGCATTGAAACTGAGCCCTCTTCCCCCTAATATTAGATGGCGCGTTTGCCCCTGGGGGAGGAGGGTGAGGAGTATGATCAGTGCCGTGTATGCGTATAAAATTAACAGGGATAGTCAGTGACTAGATTTGAAGCCTTGCGCAGAAGTTCATTTGAAATATGCACTTGGTTCAAGCACATAAGCGAGCAATGTGTCTGTCAATTGGCAGGGTACTACAGGATTAATACGACTGCAAAATAAAATGTTGGAGGCTAGAGTTCTTACGGGAAACCTAGATTTGGGACAAAAAGTGTAAAATTATACAGATACGCTAGGAATGAGAAGACTCTTACCACGACGTTGTCGTGAAATGCGCATAGCTCTTGTTATCTCCCAGGTCAGACCGCATACTGTCAGGAAGGCTAACACTTTCAGACTCCACCAGAGAGAGTCTTGGAATAAAACGTTTTTAGGATGAAACAAATTCATTGCTTGTTCCACAGCCGCACTTTCTGCTGAAATCTATAAATTGCAGTAAAATTTTTAACAATCTCTTACATCATAACTTGTCATGTAGTCCACAAAAGGAGTTAACCACAGACGCAACATTTCGTACAGCTTATTAGTTACTGTAACAGTGCTGGATATCATGGTAACGATTTCACTTGAGAAGCTGTTATCTAAATGGTCATAACCTGTTCAGGGATTCAGTTCGTAAAATGTGGCGAAGCAGTAAACGGCGTGATAATGATGTCAGAGCGAAAACGAGGGAAGTCTGGGTTGGGTCGTTACACCAACCGATCCAAACCTCTCTTTTTTTTTTACTCCTCTGCTGCCAACGAGTTGTTTACTATCGCCCTTCGTTTTACTAACTGAGGCCTGGAACAGGCTAGAATAGTGTCGTCTCAATGGTTGAGACGACACAGAAGACGATAAGTCACTGCAACACTACGAGTCAACAGATAATTGGAACTTCAAAGCCTTCGCGTGGCATACACTCCGTCTATAGAAAGTATTTGGCCATATTACAAAATCTTGTCCCCGAAAACGTCCTGACTGTGATCGTAACAGTAACACTTGTGTGTGTTGCAGAGTTTTACCACCTTATTGTTACAACTTCTGCTTAAAAGCTTGAAATAACTTGAACGAAATTGAAAAAATAAAAATCACTAGAAGAATAAGTACCTTAATGACCTTTGTCTTTGAGGCAACATGTGCAGAAACTTCTGCAGAGTTCTCCTTCAAAAAATTAGAGAAGCATTTTTGAAGCTTTTTGGCATGCCCAGCTAAAACCACTCCGTAAACTGATGAATGATGCAGAGTTTTATAGATACGTAATTCACTTGAATTGAACAAATCGCCTCGGCTCCCAGCCACTAAAGCATCGACCAAGGCCCCCTCGACTTCACGAGATCGAAGAGCCTCGTGCAGATCATCTAGATTTTTGTATTCTCTATCTGTTGAATTCAAATGAAAAACAGCGATGTGACACGTTAATCAGGAAAACAAAAATTAAGAATTGTCATGACTATCTTGGAGCAATTTTAAATTGAGTGGCAAAAGTTGTCTGAAATTTCCTTGGTTTTGCTTTACTTCGCTTTTTGATTGGTCCAGAAAACTTTCGCCGCTTTTTAAACCAATCAGATGCAAATCTAAAACCAAACACGACTTGGTCACCCGCGTTTACCCATACTTTCCCACGCTTTACGCATTTCTGGTTGTGTTTAGTTTGAGTTGTCATTGGCTCTTACGGGTATTCTTTTTTCTTCCGGTTGGACGTTCTGAGTTAAAAATTGCTCTTGCGTACTGCTTTTGGAAACTGATTTTGCCTGTGTCTTCTCATATGTCGCTCGCAAAAGAAACAAAAAGATATGTTAATTTTACCTGGGTTCATCTTTGCATTTTTCTTTAACCCAAGACGGAATTCAGATGAGTTATGTACAGCTGCGATCTAAAGAAAGAACAAGAAGAAATGAGAAGAAAGGTTTCACTTTATATTGTACCTCAGTGATGATTTCTCAGTCATGACATTATGAAAGGCAGCGCATATTACCTTCGCCCCAAACAGTCTTACATCTGTGAAAACAATGTCTGTTGTCAGGGAAGACGTCAGACAGCCTATCAGCACAGCAGTAGTAACCAGGCCAATCAGAGTTGAAGCCACAGCAAAGATACGACCGAGTGGTGACCTGGGAGTCTTGTCACCGTAACTGAAAAACAAAGCAAAAACGAAGGCCCGCTTAGCGTACGTTCATACAAAAGCAAATGAGGCTCTCTATTGGAAAGGAAAATTTGTAAGAAATAAATTCAATCTAGCAGCTTTTATTTGAAACGTTTAACACGAAGGTGATTTTATGTATATGTGTAAAACAACATTAAGATAGCGATTACCATAGGAATTTCTCCTCCTCAGAAAAAATATGAAATCATAGTGGAATGTGGGTATAAGGTATTACGATTCTGACCTGTTCTACTCACTGCTCTACTCACCCAACGGTTGTCATAGTAATAAACGTCCACCAAATTCCTTCAGGAGTTCCTTGTAAAAAGGATTTTGGAAATTCCTCGGGATTTTTCGAAGAGTCCTGAAAAAAAGAAGAAAAGGGAAGGATGGAATGAAAAGGATAGAAAAGAACAGGAAAATCAGATCTCCAAAGCGAATGGTCTAAGTTAATGCATTAACATTGACGGGCTTAGGTAACAGAAAAAAATATGAAAAAAAA